CAAAGGAAGCAGAAGAAAGTTATGGGTCCGCCCTGAGGAAATGGCCTCCCCGTGCTAGAAATTCTCCCAACATAGCAAATGCTTTTAACAGTTGTTGCAAAGCAAACAACATGAAAAATATCTACTTCCTTAGCCAGGCGTTGTGGCGAGCACCTGTAGTCCCAGCTACTTGGGAGGCTGCGGCAAGAGAATCGCCTAAGCCCAAAAGCTGAAGGTTACTGTGAGCTGTGACGTGCAGCAATCTACTGAGGACGATAAAGTGAGACTCTGTCTCTATAAAATAAATGAATAAATAAATAAGAGTTGGAGGTTGCTGTGAGCTATGACACCACAGTAGGGTGATATAGTGAGACTCTGTCTCAAAAAAAAAAGAAAAAAAATCCACTTCTTCCCCCAAAAACTTTATGCCACCTTAGAGCCAAGCCTTGTGGGTTGGGTACATGTCTTTTCTCAGCAGAAGGACATATTGACATTTTGCTTTTTACTTTTAGCTTTGGGGGAAACCAAAATTGAGTAGAATTTTACATAAGAAAGCTTCTACCCAGAGTACCCACCATTCTTAGAATATTCCGGGAGAGAAGATGGGCCCCCAGAGTCACTGTAGGAAATCCGTCCAGGGCAGGGCTGAGGTGGAAGGAGGACCAGCAGGAGCCCCTGCGGATTCTTTTGATGAATTTAACTTTGGGTCCTGCTACTGCGCAGACACTGCTTGCTCTGCCCTATTCTCCCGCACTGGCATTTCTGTGGGGTCCTGTTACTGAACTCAGCCACACCTGAACCACTGAATGATAAGAGCAGGATAGAGCAGACTGGGAAGGGCTAAGATAGGGGAACAGCCCCCTCCCCGGAGCGCAGCTCTTGCCGGCGTCGGGCAGGTACAGGCAGGGAGACACACCAGCAGAGGACAGGCTGTGCCTATCGATAGTAGGGTGGGTGGAGAATGTGTGGGAGGGGGAGGGTGTAAAATCAGATATAACACACGTGAAGACTTCGTGTACATTATCTCTTAATGCTCTCAACAGTTCTAGAAGGTGGGTGGGTGTTATTAGATAGTGAATCCAAAAGCAGTACCTAGTGGAGATTCAGGCAAGGGGCACCAATAATGCACCACCAGGTAAATTGGTCAGCAAGTAGCAAGGCCTGGTCAGCCACTGAGACAGGCCCAGAAAACAGGACTCCACCCTTCGGAGATGCACTAACAAGAGCAGAACAGGACAATCATCCTCCCAGAGTGATAAATTTATCAACCTGTATTATAAAGACTGGTGATGGGCACAGGAATACACAAAATATTCATTACTAGACCTAAGGTATGAGATAGAGAATAAAATGAATTGAGCTCCTGATATATAAGGGTGACTATGATAAATTTAAATTACAAACTAGAAATGGGGAAAGTTTTGAGATTCACAAAAATCAGGAAATAAACGAAGCCTTCCCAGTACCACCACCAAGCCAAGCAAGTTGAACCTCACACGGTGAATCAGAAAAGATGCTACGGACTGTGTATCCTCCAAGGGAAATAATGGATCATAACACGGTCTGTCTCAAAGCTTCCGTAGAGACCTGTGCATTAGTAATTATCCTGAGAGCGGACGTAAACCACCCCGATTATACATCACCTCAGGAATCCACAGTGGAATTAAAGGAAACATGATTGAGAAAGGGAAAAAAATGCAAAAGGCAAAAATTAAAAACACTTGATTTAGGAAAGACTGTGTTTCTTTCCTTCCCTTGAGTTTTTTAATATTGAGTGAGATGGTATGAGAAATCAGAGATCAGCAGGCGTTTACTTTTTCCTCTCTTATTCACCAGCCAGCCAGTGGCTGCCGTGATTGTTCAGCGACAACACTAGGCAAGGCCATACTCAGGTACAGTTGTTTTAAAAGATTGACAAGGAAGAGAGCAAATTTCCCTCAGCAGGGGGTCAACTATAAGAAAGAGGCCAGTTTCAATGACCAACTGCCCTAACTCCCTGTGAGTTTCAGGTGCAGAGATGGCCAAGGTGGTGACGTCTGAAAGATTTCTGCAGAATGGGTCTGTGGGGACAAGGCCAGAAGTGTGGCTTTTGGCGGGTTAGAAGTTTCAGGGATAGAAAGAGAGGAAACTAGATGTTTATCACCAGACTATGATGTCACTCAAGAAGACTAATTGTTAGTAGATTCATTTTCTAAAAGAACGTTCTCTATGGGAAATGTTATCTGATCCCTAGTATAATCAATGAATGAATTGGTAGCTGTCCCCAAATGCTGCCATTTCAACTTCAGGCAGTTTGATCCCAGCCTCATTCTTGCAAATGTTGTAATACTATACTCAGAAAGCTAGCAGAGCTTTAACTGTGATCTTTAAAAAGGACAATTTGGGACAGGTTGACACTTCAGCTTGTCAGTGCCACAGTATTGTCTCTGAGCTACTAGGTGTTGACTTGAATACTGACCTATCCCTGGGCAAGTCATTTGCATAAAGACTTTCAGGACAACCCCAGCAGCAGCGAGTTTGGAGGGAGAAGAGATGTTGAATGTGGCTTTCACCTGTTACAGTAAGGCCTTGTGCTGTCTTCCTTATACTAGACTGTGAAATTCCACACTCCTCCTCCCCCAAACTATTCAAAGATTCTCTTCAAAATTCACACTTGCAGGGATTTGGAAGATTAGAAAACCAGTATCATGTATGGTGAGTCAAGCAGGCCTCACACTGGTGGACATGTGGTTAACCAGGCAGTTTGACGCTGTAAGAGTTGAGCAAGAACCGTCAGAGTGAAGTGGAAAAAAAGATTCAAAAGGTTCTTTAACTCACAAGCAGTTTCAACTCTCTCCACAAATTCCAAGGTCTCTTCTTGTCTTTTTTACTTTTGTTAACACTTAATCACTGTCACACTGCATGATTTACTTGTCTTTTGTTGGTGGTGGTATCCGTGAAGGCAGGAGTCTGCTTTGTAAACTCCTGCCATTCCCAGAGCCTAGAACATCTGCCTGGCACATAATAAGTAGCGATAATACTTGTTGAATAAATGAATGAACAGCCGAAGTCTCTCCTCTCAATATAAACATGGGCTGTTCAGTCTAGTTTGCCCTTATGATGTAACATAACCAACCCAGGAAAGGAGCTCAACAAAATCATTCTTTCTCCCCTGTGCCTGGAGACTTCTGGCTGGAGAGTGACTCTGCTTGAAAGAAAGGAATTTGAAGGAACATGCTGGGAGCTGTGGAGTGAGATTGGGTGTGAGACTAAGGGGCAAAGGAGACTAGGTGAATTCACCTACCTTTTGGAATTTTTTTAAGTCAGGCTAACCTTCAAGAAAGAGAATAATAAAAAAAAAAAAAGAGGGAGAGAGAATATGACTATTTTAAAAAGTTATATTTGTTAAATCTCTGTAACTTGGTGATATGTGTTTTGCACTACCTACTTCCCTTAACAACAAAGAGATAAACCAAAAGGTTCAATGATAGCAAATAAACAGAAAATGTCGGGGACTATACCCTGAACCAAAGGAAGAATCCTAAAAAATAGGGGAAAGAAAGGATTTTAAAAGGAAAGAAGGATTAAAGCATACTGGTGCCCTGAGGCCTCAGAAGGGAGACAGGTACCCCAGAAACAGAGGAATAACAACTTTCCGAACACAAGGGCCCCTTAACGACAGAACGGGAGAAGGCAGGCCTTGGGGCCACCCGTGAATGGCTGGAACACAGGGGAAGTGGCATCACCACCCTTTTCTACTTCTCCGTCATCTCCCAGTACAAGCAGCTGCTTAATCTTGCAGTCACTATTCTAGTTAAAGTGCTTGCTGTTTTCTCATAGGACACGGTAACTGTCATGCCACTCTGTGTCAGGGTTTGCCACCCTCCATCTATCTTCCCACAGCTCCAAGGCAAATTGGACCATTCCACTCTGCAGCATAAAACCCGTAAACGCTCCTCCACAGCCTATTTGAATGCTGGCCATCATTGTCAAACCGCTCTCTAATGATGTACACAAATGTTGACAATAAGGCCTAAATGTGAACTCCGTAAGTACAGGGACAACATCTACCTTATTCACACCTGAATCCCAAACAACCAGCACAATTCCCCTGCTCCACAAGTATTTAATATTTGTGTTCCACACACAAATAAAAACAGAAAAATCATGCTATAAAACCATGCAGAATATGATCCTAAGAATGTATTATATGCACACAACAAAATCAGAAAATACAGCAAAATAGCTGGGTTTTTTAATTTTATTTATGCTTTTTTTTTGGATTTTCAAACTCTGCCATAGAAATTATTTTTTCCCTGTGATGCTGAGATTTTAAAAAATAAGCAAAAACAAAAGAGAACAGAACAAAAACCATGTACTTGACATATTGGGTAGTAGCGTGGGCCTAACGGGAAGTACAGTACCCTATGCCACGGGAATCTTCATCTCCTAGCCCAGCCTCTGCCCCACCTCCTGCTACGTCTCCACCAGCCAACATGTTCAGCAGGGCGTACATGCTGCCGACTCTCGGTGGCCCCACTAGTCCAGTATTCCCCATGTGGTAGTTCTCTATGCTTGTCATCTTGTCATTTCTAGAGCAAAGAACAATTCTCAACACACAGGTGTTCATAGTAAATGTGGATGGTGTAAGTTAATTACTACATGAGTAAGCTGGTGACCATGAATGTGAGTGATAATTATTTCATTTACTTTAAAATCATACCTACCTAATGGAATGAGTTGTTGCAGAGACTCAACAAGAAAATACACATTAAACACACTGGGTACATAATGGTCACAGTTATTAAGCACCGTCATAGTAGCCGACAAGTTGGTTTGCACCCTTTGCTACAATCTTCTTAAACTGTGAATAACAATTTCTGCCTTGTCTGCTCCTTGCCTTGAGATGAGAAAGAGCTTAAAGCAGTTTGGGAGCTATCAATCACTGGATAAACATCATCATCATCATCATCATTATTATTATGTGCTATTTTCTTTTTAAATTTTGCCTATAATAAGCTTATCTTTCCATGTCCAATTACCTTGGCTGATGTTTCAAACCATCCCACAAAGCCGTGCTCCTTGCAGAACTGGTCCATCTTGAGGCCATTGTTCATGAGGACATCCTTTCCTTGGTCACATTTGTTGGCCAACAAAACCACTGAAACTGGTTTGCCATTAGGGAGCGTTAACTTGGAGTCCAAATCATTTTTCCACTTTGCCACTGCTTCAAATGTGGCTGGCCTGGTGACGTCAAAGACAATAAATGCACCCATAGCTTCCCGGTAATAGACTCTTGTCATGTTTCCAAATCTTTCTTGACCTGTCACCAAAAGAATAAAAGTAAAAACCAAAAACTTATTATAATTATAAACTGGTTCGTGTTAGAACCTCAGGAGGCCTGCAGTATGAGCAAGGCATTCAGAAAAGTGCTTCATTGCTGATCTTTAAAGACTAAGCTAAATATACAATCGTGAAGCTTTGTTCTTCATCTTTGAATCCAGAAGGGAATTTAGTCATTTCATAACCATACATTTAACAACTCTGCATACCAGGTAATGTTGTAGAACTGTGCTAATACAGTAACTCAAGCTGCACATAGGTATTTAGATCTAAACTGACAAGAACTAAATAAAATTTATAATTCAATTACACCGTCACACTTGTTAGCTATATTTCAAGTGTTCAATAACCACATATGGCTAGTGGCTGCTATATGAAATTACTCAATATAAAACATTTCTATCATTGCAGAACATTTCCTTGGCAGCACTATTCTAAACACTTGGGAGCTGATGAAAACCCCTGCCATCATGGTGATTACATATTAGTGGGAGGACAGATTCTAACCAATAAACATAATAAACAACTAGACATGTAGTATGTTAAAAATGGGTGGATGTGTGGAGGAAAACAAGGATAGGCACCTACGGCATAGTCCAATTAAAGGGAATAAGAGAGTTCACTGTCTGCACACTAACCATCAGAAATGTTATTTATATAAATGATCATGAAGGTACAATTGTTACAATTTTAAAGTGAGATTTTAAAGTCTAAGTAAGATGCCCAAATTATATAGATAGTAAGCTTGAGAAATCAGAATGAAAACCTGGGCTGTCTGAATCCAAGCCCACAATCATTTATCAATACTGAATACTCTCCACTACTAAACTGTGGACTTGTGCCAGCTCTGCTGCTGGTGTATGTACAAGTAGCACCCCACTCCATCCAATAAGCCGATCTTTATTGGACACCAATGGTACTGATGTCATTCTCTGGACTATGCGTGGAGGAAATAACAGTAAACTAGATGGTCTCTACCCTTACGTAGCATATAATCTATTAGCTATGGAAAGCCCTTTGACGTAGCAAAAAAAATAAAATTGTTTTGAAAGGGTGAGGAGTAGTTTTGGAATTAGAATCAGCTGGAATCAGTTTTTCTCTGACACTTTATTTTCTAAGTAAATATTGTCAAGTTTCTTAAAGACTCCAAGGTTAGCCTTCCCTATCACACAATGACAATGGTGATATATACCTCACGAGGTTGTCACGTGGATGAAATGTAACCTATGTAAAGCCCCACTAGCAAAGTACCTTATGACAAATCAGTCCTTGAGTTTTCCTCACTTTCTCCACACGATAAAAACTATGAAAGACAATATGCCATAGGTTCTAAAATCATAGTTCCAGACCACAATTTATAACAAAAACATTTCAAGAATTTCAGCTGAATTACAAAAATGAACAAAATCCTATTACTTCTAACTCTAGTTAGAAGTGGTTGCTGAAGACAGAAGCTAATGAAGACTGAGCTTGTGTGTTCCAAACCCAAAACCCCAGAAATATGTGTCCAGACAAAGGCCTTTTATTCTGATTTGGGAATTTATTTAGGTTAAGAGTCTTATAAAGTTATATAAATTAAAGCAAAGTTAATGTGTATTTAACAAGCCAACTTTTCTCAGAAAGGGTAAAAATCTGAACCTGGAATGGATCTGAGAAAAAAACAGTCCAACATACCTCTAAGAATGCTTTACACTTAAATTTGAGCTCAAGGATTTGTGACAGTGAGTTTTAACTCAAATTAACAAATTATTTTGTAGATTTTTACATTCACATTGGTGTTAGCATTGGTATTGTAAGAGGACAAGACTCCCTAAGCACTTAATGAAATTGAATGAAGGCCAAGGTTTCTAGTCTCAGTGTGTGAACTTGTGTAATCAAGGGAAGACTAATGGAAAAGGGGCATTTTGTCTGGGCCAGCACATGATAATCCTAAAACGTTTCTTACATGGGTTGGACCACAGAAGCATTTTTTATAATTTCCCACAGTTATCTACTCAATGAAAAAAAGGGGTAAAATATTCATCATATGACATATAACCCAGAGATGTACTTTCATTTTTCCCAAATGAGTCTTCCATGCTTTTCTTTCTTTCTTTCTTTCTTTCTTTCTTTCTTTCTTTCTTTTTTTTAATGCCTGATGTAAACAGTAATCTTCTTTGACACTGCTCAGAGCGGCCAGGGCATTTCAGGAAGATAGGGGGAAAGCCCTCTGTGAACCTTCAGAACTCTGAAGGCCTCTAGGCTTTTACAGGGTGTCTTATGATCTCCTTGGGGGATCTAATCAGATGAAGAGCAAAGTCATGGGTTATTCAATAATCTGCTTGTCCAGAGGTTTTTCACAGTAGAGTAAGGCAGCCCTGAAGAATAAAGATTTTACATTTCAAATATAGGCAAAGAGTCATTTTAAGACCATGCAAAAAACAACATACAAATACGTAGCCTTAGACCTTTAAAGGGATTCCAAATGGAAAGCGTGTGTGTATGTGTGTTGGAACTTGTGAGTCTGTGTGTGTCAGATCAGAAATAAGAAGACAGCTTCTTTCTTGAAAGAAAAGACCTTTGTATATTGAGGTCACTGGTCCGGCCCACTGGGAAAGTTTGTGTTTTTGGCATTCCAGCAAGGGGTCACATTCAGATCAGAGCATTTCCTTCCTTTGTCAGCTGACAGCCCTCTTGGCTCTTTTTTGTTAAAAGAATAAGAACCATGTGACTCTTAGTGCCTACTTATGGTCAGAGGAGAGACTTGGTGAATTCATCAGAGGTAAATTTACTTTTAATAAAAGACTACAATTCAAAAACCACTTTGGCTCTGGATCACTCATTCAATGCACTTCTGTGAAATAGCTAACATGGCCGAAACTCTGTGCTGCAAATACGCAGTTTTTGCCCATGAGGACCTTCTAAACTAAGGAGTGCCCTCCTGGATGGCTGCCCTGAAAATGACCCAATTTACCACGCAAGTCCCCACTCCCCTTAGTTTCTGAATACACATCTCATAGCAGTAAAGATACAGCTCGTGATGCAGCTTCCAGCTTCATGGGGATTAGGTGGCAAAGGAAGCAACTAAGTCACAAAAGTTAGGACAATGGCTGCACTGACAACTTGGATAACCTCATGTCAAAAGGCACTGACTGAAAGGTTCAGAAGACAGGGGTTACCAGAGCAGCCTTAGGCAAACACATTTCTCTGTTTCTCCTGGAGACTCAGTTTTCTTATTTGTAAAATGAAGGTGGTATGGCTGATCTCTAAGGCCCCTCCAGCTCTCCTGCCTCATATGAAATCAAACTTTGGTCCTCTATCCCAACAGCCTGAAATGGTCCACTTGGTGTTACAGACTCAGTTAAAAATATACGCAAGCACCACACAACCACAATGTGAACTTAATGATATTTTCCCTTCTATGGGAAGGGAACTATGGGAAGGGTACTATGTTGGTGCTCTCAGAAGGTGCAACCATGCAGTGAATCTTCCAGACAAGCATAAAACCAATGACTAGATGCAGGGCTGGTTTCCTATTAACCTGGGTCTACCCTTTTACCACTCTGCTTCTAGCCAACTAGCCCTGTTGGCCAACGACATTTTGGAAAGATTGGGGGAATGTTCTCTGTGATCACGTACCTTGGATTAGTCACTGCACCATTTTGAGTGTCAGCTTCCTTATTGGTAAAATAAGAGAAATGGATCAGATACTCTAAATTACAGCTTCTGGGACCCTTCTCCCCAATATGCAGATATCCAGTTTGGGTTCCCAGGATCCCACAACATTGTCACCCAGAGAGATACCTTCAAATCACATTCCAACCCCTTCCTCATCCCCCATCTGCAGGGCCTCCAGCATCCTACCAATACTTCTACTTAAGAAGTGGCTCCTAAATAACTGCCCTTCCTCCCCACCCACATCACCATGGCTTCCGTGCAGCCCCTCACAGTTCCTCACCTGGACCCCTGACATCTCCCACAGCATCTGGGCTCTCTCTCCTCAAATATAAATGTGGCTATAAATATAAAAGTGAACACAGTTTTTCACAAGGTGTCATTCTGACAGCATATGAAATTACCTAAAGTATTCAAAGAATACCCATTCCCAGGCTTCATGACACAGAGATTCTTCAAATAATGGTTTTGTGTGCAGCTCAGGAATCTATATGTTTAGGAACTCCCTAAGTAACATTACCAAATGACCTAGTCTTAAAACCTGTATTTCTATTCAAATCTACCTTTAAAAGGTAAGTCTTACCATTATTCTCTGCTGTTTTGGTAAGTCAATGACTCTTACATGCTTAAGAAAAAACACCATCGTTAACATGATACGTAAGGCTGGGTATTTGTGGCTCCAACCACTTTTCCAAATTCTTCTCTTCTCACTTCCTTCAAAGTGCTCCATGGCCAAACCACAACAGACTAGTTCTTTTTCTTTCTAAAACACATCCTTCCTGGGTTTCCTTGACATTTTGCATCTCTGTTTCAAAAGCCTGAATGCCCTTCTTGTCTCCACTTGCACTCTATTCAATGACGTCCCATGGGTCCCTCAAGTTGCCCTGAAATCTGGCCACATTTGTGCAGCCTCTCATGCCCTGACAGCTGGAACCACAGACTGTCTTCTTCACGATCCCCCAGCACTTCTTCATCCTACACCATTACCACCTACCTTGTTTTGCATTCAAGCTTCAGACTCCACCACAGCAGTGGAAATCCTGGAGCGCAGGTCCATCATGTCATAATTTTATAAAACCCAAAGCCTATTTTCTACCTTTCAGATCCAGTGAGAACTCGAGATACAATGGTGAAGATAAACTGAAATTAAGGTTCCTCCTTCCTCTAAAACACATTATCGTGAATTTGTGGAGTAGCACTGCACACTGATGTCCTTACTCTATATGCTCATGTCTAGTAAATAATCAACAGAGGATCACTGGAGGGGAAAATTAACCTTATTCCCACGGGGTTATGTCTATAACTGTTGTGACAAGTTTCATGCTA